CTAGCCAATGACCTTGACCAAGCTATTCATTCTCTCTGTGCCTCAGTTTCCTCATCTGTAAAGTGATGATGATGATAATGGCACCTCCCTCATGGAGCTGTTATTAGGGTTACATATTCTCAGAATAATGTCTGGTATATTCAATATATTTAGCTATTTATATTATTTAGTGCACAGGCAGCTTTTATCTTGGGAAATTTTATTAATAATTAATAATGTTTCTTTTAAGAACATAAATAGGTCTAGTTGCATAAACACATGATAACCGAATGGGGTTGAGGTAGCCAGCTGGAAATTTTAGGAAAGAAAGCAAAAATAGGAAAATGAATCCCCTTCCCTTTATTTAACAGCTAAATAAAAGGAACCCCACTGAAATACAGAATTTAATTGAGTAATAATGGCCCCAAAGGGAGAAAGAAAGGGGAGGGGCTTTTAGGGAATGTCTTCTGTGTTTGTGGGGGTGGGGGTGGGGGTGTTCAACTTTCATTTCTCAGCCATTCTCTGTATGTTTGAGTGAGCAGCCCGTCCTCACCATGGGTGCTCACAGGACTCTGGGGTGCAAGAATAAAAGGCAAGTCCTGGCTGGGTAGCTCAGCTGGTTGGAGTGTTGTCCCCAGGTGCCAGGGTTTCAGGTTTGATCTCCAATCAGGACACATGCAAGAAGCAACCAATGAATGCATAAATAATTGGGACAACAGGTCGATGTTCCTCTCTCTCTCTCTCTCTCTCTCTCTCAGAAAAATGAAGAAGAAGAAGAAGAAGAAGAAGACGGCAAGGAGAGCCCCGCAGGCATGGCTCAGTGGTTGAGCGTCAGCCTATGAACCAGGAGTTCATGTTTTGATTCCCAGTCAGGGCACATGCCCGGGTTTTAGGCTTGATCCTCAGAAGGGGATGTGCAGGAGGCAGCCGGTCAGTGATTCTCTCTCATCATTGATGTTTCTATCTCTCTCTCTCCCTCTCCCTTCCTCTCTGAAATCAATAAAAATATATTAAAAAAAAAAAAGAACAAAAGAAAAAGGCAAGGAGAGCCCGAGGAGGGCTCACAGTCCCAACACCTCCACTGGGTGGAGTGGCTGTGGCAGCGGCGGAGGTGGCCCTGACGCTTTCAGAGGGGCAGCCTCTTCAACTCTGATGCTATGCAGAGCACTGTGAATTCTGCTTCTACAACTTCAGAGGAGTAAGCTGGCCCTTTTGTTGCCGGCCTCGGGGTATTATTTTAGGTGTTTAACTCTAGTAATTACTATCACTTCTGCACTGCAGGAGGGCCCCTTTCGGTCAGGCTTCCAGTCAGGCAGCTTGGATCTGAATTCCGACTCCATCCCATTAGATGTGTGACCTCAGGGAAGTCAGGTAAACATACTCAGCTTCCTCACGTGAAAACAAGGATAACAAGGCTTTTGTTGTGAGAAATAAATGTTACCTAAACGATTAGCAGTGCCTGGGGCATAGCAAACTGTCAATACTGTAAATGGTGAGTATTATTATTATCTCTCGACAGGAAGAGCGTCTAGAGGGATTATCTTCTGAACCCGGTAGATGCCCAGCATTGCCAGTCCTCTGCCGGGGAGGGAGGAAGCCCCTGGAGCTGCTGAGCTGAGTGGTGTCTGTTTCCTGCTGGCTAGTCATCTGCGGAGGAACTCAGCTGGAGCCGCTGCCATCCCCTCATCCTCCAATCTGTGTCCAGATCAGCTTGTTGGAGCAAGTGCCTTCAGAAAACACAATGCCATTTTCTCTTTCTCAGCTTGCAGGCTTCCTAACATGTAATAGGATCCAAAAGAACTACCTTACGAGTGAACCCTGGACATGGAAAGGACTTTTATCTTGCCCCCTCTCGAGTTTTGGGAAATCCAGGGCCAGAGCTGCCACCATTAATTAGGTGTGAGGGGTACAGGACCTCTGGACCCATCGCTTAACTGTTCATTAATGATAATGTTTCCCCTTTGCATTTATAAGACTTTATTGATCTCTAGAAGGACGAGAAATCAGGATTCTGAAGCTGAAAGGGGCCTTAGAGGCCAACTTGTCCAACCTCTCCACTCCTCATCAAGAAACCGAACCTTGGCACCACACTTTGTGTTAGTGGATTATTCCACATTCACTCTCTCCCCTGGTCTTCCTGACAGTCCTTTAAGGGAGGTTATCAATATTCTTGTGCATAGATATGGAAATTGACTAATTTGGTAGCAGTGTGATGTTAAAAGTATATACTCTGGAGCCAGACTGCTAGGGTTCAAATTCTGGCCCCACTACTGACTAGCTGTGTGACCTTGAGCAAGTTACTTCACTCCCTTGCGTCCCATTCTCCGCACCTGTAAAATGTTGGTAATGCCTAGGGCAATGGAAGTGCTGAATGAGTGTCAGCTAGAATGTTATTCCTTAAGCCAGAACACAGTAGACATGCTGATGTCTTCAACATATGTTCATTGAGCCCCTACTATGTGCCAGGCACCATGCGAGGTACTGAAGACAGAGGGTGAGCCAGACCAATGGTGGTAGGAAGAACTGATCACTCAGGGCCATAAAAGAGTTTGATCTTCATCCCAGGAGCAAGAAAGAATGATGAGTTGAGAAGTGACTGATGAGACAGATCTGTGTTTTGAAAAGTCTAGTGTGACTGCAGTGTCGGGGATAGATTGGTGGATGGCAAAAGGATGCAGGCATGAGGGTAGGAGGCTGAGGAGCACAGGCGCCTGGGCCTGGAGTTCAGAGGGGAGGTCTGTGCTGAGATAAAAGTGTGAGCCTGTGTGTGTGCAGGCTGATGACAGCCAGCATGGTGAGCTGGCCTGGGAGAGAGTCTAGAGCTGTGCCGTCCAATACCATAACCACAAATCACTCGTAAGCCACTACATGTGCAGCCTCTGAATTTAGACGTGCTGTAAGTATAGAACACACACTGGGTTTTGAAGCCTTAGTATAAAAGAATATGCGCTATCTCACTAGTAGTTTTTTATTTTGAACATGTTGAATTAAATAAAATATATTCTTAAAATTAATTTTACAGTTTAGCATTTTAAAAAGTGGCTACTTGAAAATTGAAATGGGATTGGCATTTGTGTTTCTCATTGTTTCTGTGGATCTAGAGTGGGAAGAGCAGCGGGCACAGACCCAGCCCAGGAAAGGGACAATGTTCAAAGCAAAGTTTCCACCAGCACCTTCATTACTGGCAAGCTTCTAGGTGGAGAGAATTGTATAGGATAGGGGCATGGAGGAAGAGGGAACGTTCCAGTAAGAGGAAAGCAGGAGTGCGAGGAGGTGGGTGATTCATCCACTCCCCGAGTTTGTGCTGTATGGGAGAGGGTGCCCAGCTCAGAGCGCTTGGAGAGTCATTTCCGCACAGTAGAGTGGAGATAGTTTCTAGGCTCTTCTCTGTGGCTAGTTTAATGTATGCATCAAGCTCTTAGCTTAGGAAGGCCGAAGGAAGCAGACTGTTTCTTAGGTTTCACCAATTCTTTTTTTAAAAAAAAATTTTTTTTATTGATTTTCCACAGAGAGGAGGGGAGAGGGATAGAGAGTTAGAAACATCGATGAGTGAGAAACATCAATCAGCTGCCTCCTGCACACCCCCTACTGGGGATGTGCCCGCAACCAAGGTACATGCCTTTGACCAGAATCGAACCTGGGACCCTTCAGTCCGCAGGCCGATGCTCTATCCACAGGGCAAACCGGTTAGGGCAGGTTTCACCAATTCTTAAGTGTTGTTTCCCACAAACCCCTCTTCAGCCCTTCCTGGACGAACAGGCCCGACCCACCCGATGTGGGTGGGAGCGGCACCAGACTGCAGGGGCCGTGGTTCCCAAGACCTGGCCCCAGTTTTCCTGTCTGTTACCAGAGGAGTTGACTAGATGACCTTAAGACCCCGTCCCCTCCCCGCAGTTTGTTACCCAAGCAGACAGGTGTGCGCTCTGCAGCGCCGAACGCCCTGCAGGCGGCGCTGCCGAGTGAGGGTGTGTGCGACTGAGGGAATGGGGGCGGGCGGCCCGCGGTGCGGAAACCTAGCTGCACTGCCGTCAGCGGGAATCAAAGGAAACTGCTCACTTCATCTGGGACAGGTTTTCTATCTGTAATTGGTAAATATGCAAATGAAAGGCCCACATGGCCTGAAAGGGGCACATCAAGCTCTAAGCGAACGACAAGGACCGGGCCCTTCCCCGGGGATCCCTGGCACCCCGCACGCCCCTCGGCGAGCGCCCTTGGCGGGAAGGAGGCGGAGGCTCAGGGCTGGCTGGT